AATAACTACCACCCAGCTGCCCTCTTCGTAGCTTAATGTTGATGCAACGAAGATCGTTAGAGCCGGGGTTGAGCCACATCTTCTCAAATGCAAATGTCCGATTCGGGTTAATCATTCACATATATGCGATTCGGTGCTCACGATCAGGTGCTCATAGACGAGGACACCTACACTGCCAACGCAGCACTTTTCGAAAAATATTCTCTTCCTGTCTGCGTGCAAGGAGTGATCCGCATATTATTCAGTCCGATGTAGTCACGCTTGAAGGCAAAGTTCACAAAAAAATGGTTTCTGAGTGCTTTCTCTAGGATTACCCGTAGCCTCTAAGGGTAACAGGAAGGACGCTGTCGGTTCCCAAACTCACAGTTAGGGCCTAGTGAGTGCACCGTTACCGGATCGCCCGCGCGGCCTTCCCTCCCCTCGATCGCTGACGCGTCAGACATGTGTCGAGGCGAAACAGATTGCAATATTCGTTCTAGGACCCACACACAATCAGCTGATCGCCGAGTAGTGAGGCGATGTTTTTCTTCTACTCTTCTGTTCTCTGTTGCTCCTTTTGCTGTTGTGATCTCTTGTTTGATTTTGTACCGCAAAAGGTTAAAAAAGGTCGTCTACTCCCGCTGTTAGTACAGTTTTTGTTGGCTTGTGCTTGAGCGAATGAATTTTGGCTCATCGTTGTAGCTATTCGCACTGGGACCCACGCGTACGCAATGACACATATTGTATAGCTCGTCCAAACGCCCCATTCTTCTTCATTTTCTGGTCTCATTCTTGCNNNGATATGATAGTAAACTGTGCGTGAGAATAAAATATTAGGCTGGATTGGAAGTGCTGATAATTGAAGCACCAGCTACAAATTAGAGACTTTGAAAGTACAACTATCCCCATTGATGCCAACTATGTGATCCTTATTATAAAGTAAGTCCTACTATCAAATAAAGAGAATGCTTTTATTGCAAAGAAGTTCCTCAGATTATGTGACAAATATGCATTCATTCCGAGGGAATCTTCAGGATAATACAAGTTAAGGTAGTCTCATCCCAATGAAAGTTCTAGGACCACCATAATGGATAGGAGCCATGGTGATAAACTATTCAAAACCAGGAACGCTGCAAAACGAAAGACATCAAAACGTGACTCTAGCTGCCACCGGTCCTATGTCCTTGACAAAAGCATCTTTTGATCGCTTCGCTTATGTGAAGGATTAAAACTGTTGTATTCGGATAGTAATACGCTTGGAAAGGAATTGTTGGGGAGTTATTCTTCTACAGAAATTCTATAGAATTCAGAAATGAGCAAATGTTAGACATCTCAGTTCACTACACTCGAGGTTCTGGGAAAAAAAATTGAACTTTTTTCAGATCAAAACGAACTTAGCCACTGAATAGAGCGGAAAACGCAATCCAAGTAGCATACGACGTGAAAGTTTTTCTCCACAGACTTTCATTTAAGAATGCGCCATTCAGAACACAAGTAATAAAAACCCGAAACTTCTGTCAATAGCCCAGTAACTTTTGTGCTTCAATAGGATACTCTAGGTACCTTTGACCCTTGGGACTGAAGCAAAGATTATGAATTTGGGCCCCTTTTCCGTTTGCAGATGTTGAGGCATGTATTCTTTATTATAGTCAAGCAGACTATAATAAAGGTGACTACAATGTGCCTGCATTTCAGAAACTCACCAACTGCGTTTAATAAGATTATAGTGGAGCTTTTGGAAAAATTTTCATTGCAGTCAAGGGCATTAAAAATCCTCAAGTGTAGTTCTTCCAGTTTTTGTGCTCTCTCAAGACACGTTTGGGCTTAGGGCTTTCTGTTTGCTCAGCCTGCTANCAGCCCCCTTTTTAACGATTTTTCGAAGCCTGTTTTCACTTTGAACACACCGATTCATGCAGTTTCTTCGCCGTCATCGCGCTATTTTCGAACCTATCTTCCATTTTTGGTCATAATCTGGATTACCCAAAATCATCATGAACCGTGCCTTCAATCGTCCTAGCTTGCATGACCTGATCTTCTATACACACTTCCAATGCAGGCATTCGTATGTCCAGAATCCATATCGCCATGTTAGTTCTTTTCCTTTTGGCAGCCTGTTTTAGCTATGAGATTTTAGCGCCTCTGGACATGTAGCGACGAGTTTTGGTCAGCGAGTCGGCTGGAGTCGCCTTGTAACCTCGCCTTTTAACCGACTAGAGATACTTCAGTGGAGCAGAATTCCAGTAAAGGAGTTCCGTAGCACGTAGAACTTATGTGTAAAGTAGAATGAGTATGCTCATGTCAGTAGATGCTTACGCATAAACTTCTGTATTTTCTCATATTTATTTTTTCTTAATTATTATAATTGTTTATAATTTCTCGGTAGCGCGCTTTACGTTGCATTCCTACATATGCTGCGCAGGAAAGTTTCCTATACCCCACGACTTTTTAATGGCTTAACGCGATCACACAACTGTGTAGCACAATTAGCACCATTGGAATTCGGTTGCTCCATTAACAACTGCAACTGCGTTATCTTGAATTGGAATGATGTACCGCACAATGCAAACGCGCCGCGCACAGCGAAACGGCAAGATCCCATAACGCCGACAGAAGTATCGACGTATCGATAGCATTGAGAGGATGAGAGTAGCGTGCACATTTTACATGACTGCACTTAATTCAGGACCAGTAGTGACAGGAGTTGTCGGCATGACAATGCCACGATACTGCCTGTTTGGAGACACCGTGAACACTGCTAGTCGGATGGAAAGCAATGGAAAACGTGAGCTCGACGGTTTATTTCAATTTGATAGAAGGAAGTCTGAAATCAACGTGTTTTAGCTGGCCGCGTTCATATTTCCACGGATACAATGAAGTTCCTCACCGAAGTAATTGGAGGCTACAAATGCGAATATCGTGGAGAGGTTATGGTGAAGGTACGTCGCTCGCAGTAGGAACACTTGCTCTGTTTTTTTTTTTTGATTTCTCGTTGAGTGGTCAAAAAATTGCATTTCCTCATCTCTGACTCGAAAGAGGGATATTTATTCATTGGTGTATACCACAAGAGTGTTCTGTTGAATTAGAAACACATTCTAGAGCAAATATCAGTTGTTAGACAATTGCATATGGGTCGTTGACAGACCGGTTTCATGCTGCATCGGATATGATAGTAAACTGTGCATGAGAATAAAATATTAGACTGGATTGGAAGTGCTGATAATTGAAGTACCAGCTACAAATTAGAGACGTTGGAAGTGGAACTATCCCCATTGATGCCAACCATGTGGTCCTTACTATAGAGTAAGTCCTACTATCAAATAAAGAGAATGCTTTTATTGCAAAGGACTTGCTCAGGTTATGTGACAAATTTGTATTTATTCCGAGGGAATCTTTAGGATAATACCGGTTGAGGTGGTCTCATCCCAATACAAGTTCTAGGACCAACATGATGGATAGGAGCCATAATGATAAACTGTTCAAAACTAGGAACGCTGCAAAATGAAAGA